CGTCTGCCCGTCAGCGGGAAGGAGAGCCTCTCACCGACGAGGAATGATCACCTCGTACTATTACATAAGAAATAAACCCTTCTTTAGCCATGAGATGAATGCTGGGATTCACTGTTAGAACACTTTGATAGCGTCCACCCAGGCCTTCTAACAACTATGTATGGTCTATATACATACACTTAAACTACCCCTAGCCCAAGTGACCCAGGAAATACCACACTCACTAGAAAAAAAAAGAAACAACACAATATATCAGTAGCAGAATGGAGGCCACCACCAAATCCAGACTGTGGTAGAACTCAGCAAGCAGCAGCTCAGCTGTACAATGTAGGAGCTGATTACCACTGAGGGAGGCTAAAGCGTCATGGAGTTTGGAGGGAAGGTACTCAGCCCTCTGCCATTTGAAGACAACTTTCTAACTCCCTCACATTCCTCTCCTCGCCATGGCTGGGAGGAAGCCAGGCAGGTGGCCAACCATCCCCTTTGCTTAGGACAAAGGGAGGCGCTGGGACGCAGAACTTTTGGTTTTAAAGCGAGGACAGTCCCAACCAAAATGGACGAGTTGGTCACTGATATCAGGAGCAAATGTGCACAACTGCTTTCCTCAAACAACAGACGGTGGGACATGCATAGGCTTTGAACAGGACTTATTATGGTTTGAATTCTAGGACCAGTGATTCCTGGTTCTGTGAACTTGAGAAACTTACTTCATCACGCTGGTCATTTGGATCATCACTGACAAATGAGAGCAAATGACAGAGCCTTGTGTGAATGGGTTAGTTTAACTTCCCAGTTCCATACCATTTTTTTGCCCTTTCCTACTTTTCTGCCATTTATTTCTGATTTACTATTTGGCTTTCATTTTTTATTCTATGTTATCAGGGTTTTTTTAAATGTTTTTTCTATACAGCAACCCAAACCTTCTTGTAAATGAACAAGTGTCAAATAAATACACAAACATTACCTTCATTTTTTTTCAGAAAAAAATCATGACTCGATAGAAAAATAAAATCAAAAGATTAAGAAATTCAGTCAGACTTTTTCTTTTAAAATTCCCATGTATTACTGAAAAGTCCCTATACAGTAAACCAATGATAACAAAAATCTTTATTTATCTTCTCCGAGTGTAACTTTACTCTAATGCTTGTTTTTTTTATTTATCTTTATTGTTGAAAGTATTACAGATGCCTCCTTTTGTTCCCCATCGACCCCTTCTAGCCTAGCCTGCACTTTCCCACTCCCCCCTGCCCCCAGCCTTTACCATGCTATTTTCTGTGTCCATAGGTTATGCATATGTGTATTTAAGTTCTTTGATTAATCTCTTCCCAACCCCACCTTCCCTCTGAGACTCATCAGATTGTTACATGTTTCTATGTCTCTGCATCTATTTTGTTCATCAGTTTATTTTGTTCCTTAGATTTCACATATGAGTGAGATCATGTGATACTTGTCTTTCTCTAACTGGCTTATTTCACTCAGCATAATGCTCTCCAGGTCCCTCCACGCTGTCTCAAAGGGTAAGAGATCCTTCTTGGTCATAAATGTGCCACAGCATTTTATCCACTCGTCTACTGATGGGCACTTGGGCTGTATCCAGAGCTTAGTTATTGTAAACTGTGCTGCTATGAACCCAGCAGTGCATACACTCTTTCTGATTGGTGTTTTAGGTTTCTTAGGATATATTCCTAGAAGTGGGATCTAATGCTTGTTTTTATCCTCAAATGAATGACAAGTTTGGCCTTATTTAATGTCAGCTATTGTATATTATAGTTTCTAGTTAATTTATCAGGATTACATGAGTCATATATTTGAGAATAGAATATTGTCAGTTTACGTTAGCAGATTTTATTATGGATTGCTGTCTGCAAGTTTTATTTATATATTAAAAGATCATACCAGGATTTGTATTTGCTACAATATCCTTTTTTCTTTGACTTAACTGTCAAAGTTGCCCTCTGCTTAGATTTATAACTCTATAATAATTATATCTAAATGAATGTAGTATATATACCTATATTTTACAGAAAATAAATAGCCTAAAAGGTGTTTTTGTATGACAGAAAATGTATTAATTCAATAAAAAGAGAACACAAAGAAATAATCTTCCAGCAACCTGTTGTACATACTGAAAATTTTATAACTTGGTAACTTTAAAAGGGATAATATCTTAATCGTCTTTTGAAGAATCGCTCCCGAGTTTTCTCATAGGTAATAATGGGCATATTCAGGACATATATTTTTTTAAGATATAAAAGGCATTTCTTTTGTTTTTGAATGAATCCATTAGTGGGAAAGCAAAAGTGTGAAAAGTACTTAGTGCAAATCAGCTGCCATCAGTCCTTGGGCCACAGATCCTATGTATAATAAGGAAGACTGGAGCTTTAGGGTAACTCTGTAGAAAGCTACTCACATGTCAGTATACTGGGCTTTGTATGGCTTCCAGTAGCTGCTACAATAACACAACAAACGCCATTCTAACTTGCCAAGGTAAAAGCCCACTGAAAAAAGTAGGCAACTTTTAGTAAAGAAAGCTGGTTTTATCTGCAAGCAACATAGCCCTAACCAGCAACAGTCAAATAAGTAAATTGAAGAAGGTACTGCCCTCTGTGCTGACAAATTTCAAAAAGCGTTCCTTGCCTGAGAGCAGGCCTTGGTGAGCAGAGCAAAGGCTGAATTGCCTTTCTGCCATTCACAGATACACAAGCATAAGCAACAGCCCTGGCCAGTGACATGGAACCATTAAAGTTCATATCATTGTATATGTTAGCTGAGTTTCAGCAGCCACATTTTTTCTAGCTGATTAGGTAAATGTGAAGTGCTGAAAAATGGAATAGGGAAAATTAGGGAGGTGCAGGACCTGTGGAAGCCTAAAACTCCAGGCTCTCTCAAGTGCCTCACCCGCCCACTGCCCATCAGTGTTCATATAACTCATTCACAAGGGATGCAGCCTGGGGAAGGAGGCGCCATCCTTGGGTCAAGCCTGATCACTCACAGAAGTAGATCTAGTGACAGGAAGCCATTAAATTGAGACTAAAGGAGGTACAGGGAGCTCAGAGCTCAAAAACCAATGTGGCAAGCAATGGACTACAGTCAAAGATCATTATTTGACACAACTTTTGGTGGCAGTTACCAGAAAATGAAGTCCTCTACCACCATGTCCAAAAAAAAAAAGAAGAAGAAGGATATTGATGCTAATAAAGATGTTAAAGAAAGTATAGTGCTAGAAAAATCCCTAGCTTAGCAAATAAAGGCTCGTGACTTCCACTCTAAAGCAATCCCTGAATCTAAGTCCATATTACCAACAAGAAAAGAACCATTAAGGCCCCTGCAAGAGAATCCTCCTGAAGCCCTTCCCAGAGATGGCTGTGCAGTACACCCAGCAAGAGAAATTTTAGCAGGTAATCCTGGCCAAGTTTAAGGAAGAAACTAAGTAAAGAGATGCTGATGGTAGTTCATGGCCACATCATCTTTCATACTGTCCTTACCCAGGGAATATGGATATTCCTTAGACCAGTACTACACTTGAGAAGTTACAGTGTGACTACCTACACTATACTTCCTTCACCATTGTCAATCAGATATGTTTTAAGCCATAAGTTGCAGGATCATAAAGAGCTACATCCAAAATTGATCAAGATCAGATTTTTCAATCATTTCAGGAGAAGAATACCATCACCCAGAGTCTGGAACAATGACTGCATAACACTAGCTCTAGATGGGTCATCTGGATGTGGCTTTGATTTGTCTCTCATTAAGGAGAGGCAGAGTACACATATGTTTGTTGGAAGGATAACTGGGTCTCATTAGGCAGGAATATTTTTAAAGTATAGGTACAGATACAAAAAGTGTCTATGCAAATACACACACAAAAATCAGTGCTGGTCAGCCAAGAACTGGACCATAATAAACACCTACTCTTCATTCATCCAACATCGTACCCTTTATTCTGGTAGCAGTATAAATTTAGTGACAACAACTCTTCAAAAAATAAAGTGCTTTTAGTTACATACATTTTGTACAGAGAGCTTAACAACACTGGGGATTTGCTGACTTGCCTTTGTTATATAGCGAGCGCCTTAAGGACAAGATTCCGTCTTCTTAGAGTTCCATCAACCTTATCAGGCACATACCTGCTGACAAAGAGCCTTGTGCAATGTTCAGCACCCAGTGGACACCCAGTGAAAATTAACTGATGATGATGAATTATACCAGCTTTTAAGCTGTCACTTGATCCCAGTATATAACAACCTTCCTGAATAAATCAAGCAACAGTTTGATATTCAATACCATTATAAACTTCATCCTTCACCTTCATGAGTCTAGGGAATTGCTGTAAAAGCATAATATGTGGATAGTGGAGTTACAGAAAGGATTCAAAAAAATTCTTTCTGTTATAACAAGGGAATTAAAGATTAAGTTATAGATAGCACCGTATGTATAGGGAAATTCACCAAAAATACTAGTTAAGTGACATTTTTGTCAATAGCAGAAAAAAAAGCCAGTACCATATTTTATATCTAAAAGTTCCCTCCCCCCCCCCCCAAAATAAAAGTAAATCCGACTTCATGCTTAAGTAAAACTGGTATCTCCTTGAGGTTAGAGCAGGGGAAATGCAGATGAAACCTCAGAAGATATGGAATCAGACAGAGGGAAGTATGAATTGCTACCTTAACACTTAAAAAGTAAATTTTATTTCCAGTAGCTTATTCAAGGTAAATCAGAAGAAAAGTAAATTTTGTTCTTATGAATTCCCCAGAGCTTTAGTATAGCTCACAACCTTCAAAGTTCATTGGTGAGTATTTGTTATTAGAATAGCTTTTCACTCTTCAATAAATTCCTTTAAGATATGGTCTGACACCAAGAAACCTTTGTGCTTTAGTCCTAATAGCAATTCTCATTATAGATGAAGTTTTTCTGACATAATTTGAAAATTTACGATTCCAAGCAAAGCTTTAAGAATTGACTCTAAGACAGGGATGGTCTTAATTATCATGTCCAACCTTGATAGGTGATCCTGACACGTTTCCAGCATAAGGAAGTAATGAATAAGCTGCTTATCTGATATAATAACAATATCCAGAAAACTGGTGCAATAAAGTTTTCCAAACCTGCAGGGATATAGTCACATATATAAATATTAAATTATTTTTATTATAAATTGCAGCTTAAAGATAATGGAAAGCTTTCAATATATAAGTAAGTAATAATAACACTATTTGCTCATTATTCTCATCTTGTCTTTTCCTGAGATGAAATCTCTCCCTCCTGCCTCATTACAGGGATGCTTTAAAATCTGAATGTGAATTTTAGATTGTCTTTCACACAAAAATCAGTGCTGTATCATGGCTATTTTAACCTCTGTGGGAATAAAATATTACCCAAACTTCAACACCAGAAAGTGGCTAAACACTAAGTAACAAACTCATTAACCATATTTAAATATTAATACGAGTGAGACTAATTGTACAAACATTTCTTCTTCTAATTTCGCAATAAAACCCACTAAAATCTGTGGAGGTAAGTTTGTCTGCTAACTAAAGTTATTACAAAATACTAGCGGCCTGGTGCACAAATTCGTGCATGGGTGGTCCAGCCAGCCCGCCCGATGGGGGCCCATCAGGCCAGGCCGGTGGAGGGAGGGGCCACGGGCAGTTGGCCAGCAGGCCCTGCCCCCAATCAGGGTGTTGGGGGCCTATTGGGAGTAGGGCTGGCCAGGGGGAGGGGCCAATCGGGGCCCAGATCAGGCTGGTTGGCTGCCGCAGTGCATGTCATAGCCACCGGTTGTTCCAGTCGCTGGGCTTTTATATAGATAGATTTGTTGAGTATATGCTATAGTGCTGGCCACTATTCCTCGCATAAAGGATATTACAGTGAACGATATTTACAAACACCTTGCCCTCACAGAGCTTACAGATATTTATTATCTCACATAACAAGAAATCCAAAGACAGGCCATCTCTAGTATGATTAATTTTGCAGGTTCAATGTCTTCACTGTCATCCTTGGCATGTCAACTCTCCCATCTGACTACTCTCTCATAGTTATAAGACTTTCTGACACAACTCCAGATATCACATCTAGAGATGATTAGAGCCTTGATAAATGAAGGTACTCTTTCTAACCATCTCTGTAAGAATACAAAAATTCCTTTTCCAGAAAGCCTCTAGGAGACATCCCATTGGTCAGCACTGGGTCACATGCTGACCTCAAAGCTCCTTCTTCTCTGCCCCTAGAACAAAAGTTGTTTCAAGATCTGCCCTCTTCACAGGACTATATGCTCCTCTGTAGCAAGAAGCATGTCATTTGTATCGTCACTCAATGAGCATTCAAGTGTTATATACAAGTGCCCAGCACTTTTGAACAGTGGTCACTTAGAAAAATCAATAAAGGAACAATAGGAGGAAACAATACTATTCAACAGCTCACCATTTCAATCGTTTAAATACATCTTAATAAGTACATATTACTAACTTAGAAAAGTAAACAAGGGAAACACACACACAATTGCCTTTTCCCACACCTCCCCCCCCCCCCCCCCACCGGTAATGGCTTCTGTTTAACCTAGATGATTTTTAGAAGCTCTAGACAAGTATCTTCATCCTCCAAACCCAACAACTCTCCCACACACACTGTGCAATTAAAAAGCAAGTTATTATTTGGAATTCAACTGAATTGGAAAAATGATAACGTCATATTTATTCATCACCACAGATCTTGTTTATTTCATCAACATTTAGAAGATTATTACTCTATTTGCAACAGTAGACAAAAAGTTAGAAATAACTGGAACTATTAAAAGACCAACAACCAAAACTATAAGAGATCTTAGCACTTGAAGAAAAAGAGTGGGTAGAAAGGTTCATTATAAATGAAATACGTTCGTATGTGTTATTCTTTTATCAAATATTTATTGAACATCTACTATGTATCAGACATAGTGCTAAGACTAGTTAAATAGAATAAAAACATATTAAATACGTAACTAAACAAACAGTAAACAGGATATACAATCTGAAATTATGGTAATGCTATAAAAGTGCAACTATCACAAAGAATAGCAAGGCCAACTATGTTGGTCTGGATAGCTAGGAATGGCATTTCAACAGAGACCTGAGGGGAAGAGGCCTTCAAAGAGAATGAGTAACAGGTTTCAGGCCAGACTAACAACACCAGCCATGCCCTGAAGCAGACCAGGTAAGCATATTTATTGAACCTGTTGTAAAGCCAGTGTGGCTACAGAATACTTACATGACCATACATTTACTGCCCAATTAAAATGATAAATATTAACAAACATATTAGAAAAGCATGAAACGTGCTTCTGTAATCCCTTCTTGTCAATATTCTTCCAAATACTGTGCTTCTTTACCATATAAACTACTACTATAATAACTTATTTACTTACAAGACCACTCTCGGTATTACTGACCAGAAATCAGCTTAAATAAATACAGTCAATCAGGACACTCCCAATAAAAGAGTTCTTAGGAAGTTACATAAAAGGGCCATCAATTGCATACAAATGTAAACTATAATCACAATTTGCAATATTAAGAAACATTTATAGAAATCTTATCCTTTAATTACTTTCAAAAAGAGAAACACATCCATTTCTCTGCAATGTACAAGTCTATTGATATTGAAATTGGGTAAAAATTGTTCTGAAGCTAGAGAAAATAGCATGAATTATTTGATGTTCTTTAACAGTAAATGAATGGTTGTGAGGGAATCTTGCTATTATTCTTATGAATCTGCTCTGATTTTAGAAGTGAGACTATCATTCTGTTTCATATTTATCTTCACATTTTTTAATTCCAATGTCCTAAATCAGATTCCTTTATTCATTTAAAGCACAATTCTCTACCAGTAGCTCTCAACCTTGTTCCAACTCCACAGGATTTATTTGAACAACACACACCCTTTAGTGATACCTTGTGAGTTTCAAAAAATATATTCCCTCTCTGGGGATTACCTTATCTCTTGCCTTGTGCACTACCCTGGAGAATCATAATTCTAATACTGGAACTACAGATGGATAGAATGCTGACCAAGAGCAATTTTTATCATAAAGGCAAATACTTAGGGGAGAACAAAATGAGCAATTAGACAGTGAATTGAATAAGTCTGTCTACCTGGGGCTTTAAAAACTCCTATTAATTTCTAGTGTCTATTTTCTGTTAATATAGCCTTTCCATTACCACACAAACCACGTTGTGATTCACAAATTGCAAGTGATAACTACATGTTCTCATTGATAATCAAAGACCATTTTCAAAAATATAGCCCTGCTTCTGCCACTAACTACCTGGATATCTTCGGACAAACTGTTTACCTGTTTCTGCTTCAATTTGTCAACTACAAAAACACAGAGGTTGCCCTGACCGGTTTGGCTCACTGGATAGAGCGTCGGCCTGCGGACTGAAGGGTCCCAGGTTCGATTCCGGTCAAGGGCATGTACCTTAGTTGCAGGCACATCCCCAGTAGGGAGTGTGCAGGAGGCAGCTGATCGATGTTTCTCTCTCATCGATGTTTCTAACTATCCCTCTCCTTCTCCCTTCCTCTCTGTAAAAAATCAATAAAATATATTTTTAAAAAAACAAAACCAAAAAAGACACAGAGGTTGAACACACTGATCTCTAAGGCAGTTTCCCCAACTTTAATATTGCAAGAGGATAGGTCCATGATTCATTGTCAACATGTGGAAAATAATCTGCAAGGAATCGACGTAAGCACCCACTTGGTTGGGGTCTTATAAATTAGAATCTAAGCCATCTAGATAATATCTATTGACATAATTATCAAAATTTTCTTCTTCTAGAGAAAGAAGTACAAGAGGGTGGAAGGTGTGACACTTTAGGAACATTCATTGGGAAAAAAAAGATTAACCAGACGGAGTGATAAAGTGATTGAGCACGTTTCTGTCCACCCACAGACAACAATTACTAATTTAACAAGGTTCCTGGCCCCTGTGCTCTTAGCCAGGTGTCAGGGGCTGAGGGCTGCTACTAGTGACAATGGCAACCTGTAGGGAGTAAGATTAAATAGCTTCCATTTTTTTTTTCAAAACGGGAATATTGGTGAACAAAAGAGAATATGAAAATAAATATCGTTCTCTAATGGTTGGCGATGTCTAGATCACGACCATCAGTGCTTACGGGGAAAGAGGACAGGCCTGTGTATGTGTCTCATCATTCAGGCAGCCGACTTCACTGAGCCCCTGTGGTCAGTGTGCCTCTCGCTCCCACGCTCTGCTGTGCCAGATGCCCAGGGCCTGAGCCTCTCTGGTTTAAATTCTCCAGAGCATCACTTTCTTGTGCCCTGTGAGGGTCGGCGTAAGAGTAACATGGCTGCTCAGATTGGGGGCAGGAGGTGAACCAATGTTCTAAGTCTTCTTGTACCCAGACTTTCAAATGACATATTTCTCTAATCTTAAATTCATCCCAGTTTCCACATGCCTTATGCCTCTAGATTTGAGCCTTTTGGTACAGTACCATAGTGTGTCACGTTAACAGTTAGGTTCTGACTTCTGCTACAAAGTCAGTTATTATTTCTCCATCTACTTTCCATCTTCCAGAAAATACTTAACATTTATGATTCGCCATTGCTTCATTTTCTATTCTCTCTCTCCTTAAACTTAAGTATTTTAAAAATTATTATTAACCTACTATCATTTAAGTGTGATTTCTGAAAAGAATGGAATATATTCAATCTTCCATAGTGAAGAAAAATGTTTCTTTCTTCAAAAACAAACAAGAAAACTCAAGAAAATTTGGCAAGATGTTACTTGTTAAATGAGTGGTTATGTTTGCAATATTCTTTTTAATATCTAACATTTTATATTAGAATTGGAAATTAATTTTCAATTAAAGAAAGGTCGCCCTGAACAGTGTTCCCAGTGGTTAGAGTGTCAGCCTCCACACCTAAGGGTCAAGGGCACGGACCTTGGTGCAGGTTCCCCACCACCAACCAGGGCATATGCAGGAGGCAACCAATTGATGTGACTCTCTCACATCCCAGTGTGCTCAGTGGTTAGAGTGTCAGCCTCCACACCTAAGTGTCAAGGGCACGAACCTTGGTGCAGGTTCCCCACCACCAGGGCATGTGCAGG